CACAAATGCGGCAGCTGCGGCGTGTGGTGCTCTCTTTGTTTATGTGTATCCAGGTTGATCGTGCTACGTTTGAATTCCCCCTCAGTAGTTTTGAAGTTTCTTCTCTAATAGAGGTGTCCTTCCTCTCTTTGTGTGTAAATCACCAGTTCTATGTGATCGATTTTCTTCCGTTGTTCGTACATTGTGCATGTATCAAAAGGTTAGTGATCAAGAAAAATCTTGTCTAGTTATGTTTCCATCACGATTTATACCAAGTCGTTCCAAATATATCTATTTATTATTGTTATTCGCGATTACTCTTTTATCTTATTTTTCTAATAAATTATTAGTATTCCAAGTGTGGAATGCGACACATGTGGTTAGAAGCCGCCTCTACTTTTAAGCAATGTTATGTATTCGTTGATGCATCACGTTACGGTCGAGATAGCCTGCATTTGCAATCTGATATTTTTCCATCAGCTTGGGGCGGCTCTGATGCGAGAATTCTTGAATCATTATTTCTTATATCGGGTGGCATGACACTTTGTTTTCCACTTCTCTAAATGGGACTACTATCGAGAAAAAGGGGATAATCCTCAATGTGTTATTTATTCTCTAATACCGTACGCAAGCTTTACTATATGGAAATACGTCGTACATACATGAAGCTAGGCAAGTGTGTATGTGCACTTCGATATGGAAGTGCATTACTGCTCAGTTGCCTTGAGCTCTACCAGTTGAAGTGTCTTTTGATCAGGCGATTGCTCGTGGTTGCCTTTCGTATGCTAAACGATGTTTATCTGTCCTGAACTATGTTTAGTAACTATACTGTCTTAAGGCAAAAAGCACAAGAGATGTTCTGCTAAGTTTGCTTTTTGGGCCATCGAAGTGGAATGTGAGTATCACAGAATGAAAAGGCTTCATTTTTTTCCGAACAGGGCACCATTCCCATGTTTGACTGATCTTCTTTATTTTTTTTTCAAAAATCTGTTCAGCATCGATGAGTTAGATTTTTGTCAAATTTATCTCGGCTTATGTTAACTATCGTAAACATCATTTCAGTAAATCTAACGTGTTAGGGAGAATGGGCGTTTTATATGGAAAAGCATCTTAATCCACAGCTCCTTTGAGATATACTTTTGCGT